TAGTTTTTATTAGTGCATATTGTTATCAAATAGAGTTTCAAATGTAATTAAATGTAAGCCCTGTGAAGCCTATTTTGTTCACTGAGGGTTGGGCACATTCTGTTTTTGCTGAGTGTAGTGAAGTTGTTTCTGACTCATAGCTGCCCTGTAACTGCTGGTGAGTTTGAACTGCTGACCTGTGGTCCGCAGTCCAATTGTTACGTCCTAAATGGTCGGGTTGAATGATTTAACTTTTGAAAGCCTTAATGCTGAAATAGACCCTAGCAGTTTAAAACTCACCTAGTTTACTTCATTATCACTAGCGTTAACTATTACTTTAAAAACCCTTGTTGAGTAAATTTGTAATACATTGTTTTCATTTATAATTTTGAGTTACTTTTTGAGTAACTGTTTGAGAAAACCAACATTTAAAAAATATACTTTTGGATACATTTTTTAAATGTTTGTTTTCTGTTTGTACTTTTCTGTAAATTTTCTCTGTGGTTTTTGTTATTTGTGCAGGCTATATATTTTAAAATATTTCTTTATATACCAATGATCGCCACCGCTTTCACCTCTGTTGAATTTCTCTCCTTCTAATAGATTTCTTTGAAAATTTTTATCATTTTGAAAATCAGATGTTTTTGATTAGCAAAACTTGGTGCTTTATTTTTGTTTGTAAGTATATTTACTGCATTTATGTTTTGGCATGTTACAGTTTTGTCTTCCTCAGTGTACCATTTGGTGCTTTGTGGCTCCGTATTATAAGTACTGGACTGGGAAACACAAGGTCTGCGATTGAAGCCCTCCTCCAGCCACTCCACTGGAGAAAGATGAGCCTTTTTGTTCCTGCAAAGATTTTAAAGCCTTGGAAACCCTCTATAGGACTGCTGTCTGTGAGTCTGAACCGAGTTGATGGCATTTTAACAACAAATATTCTCTTTTATTATTGATCATTCTGAGGTTACTACAAGGGGCTCTGATGCTGCTGTGGGTTAGGCATTGGGCTGCTAGCTGCAAGGTAGGCGTTCAAACCCACCAGCCACTCCGAGGGAGAAAGCTGTGGCTGTCTGTGCCTTTAAAGATGAACAGTCTTAGAAGTCTGATGTAGAGTCGCTATGAGTTGAAATCTACTCGATGTCAGTGGATTTTTGGAGGTGATTATGTATGATACTTTGTGACTCTGGTAACGAGTTTGGTTTGGGGTTTCATGTTTAAAGGAGGAGCCTTGGCATTGCAATGGT